CCGTGCACATCTCGTCGCTTGCCCTTCTCAAGATGCTAAGGCATGGCCGTGCAGGTGTCCCTATGGAAGTCATGGGTCTTATGCTGGGAGACTTCGTCGACGAGTTTACCGTTAGAGTGGTTGATGTGTTTGCGATGCCTCAGAGCGGCACGGGTGTTAGTGTTGAAGCTGTCGATCCTGTCTTCCAGACTAAGATGATGGAGATGCTTCGACAAACGGGAAGGTCTGTTTTGATCCATAATATAGATATCTATATCTATATCTATACATCGTCCTGTACAAAATACTTGCATCACAATTCATCATTACTGACATGTCGTAACGTATAGGCCAGAGACCGTTGTCGGATGGTACCATTCCCATCCCGGATTCGGCTGCTGGCTTTCCTCCGTTGACATCAACACCCAACAGTCCTTCGAACAACTTACACCCCGCGCCGTCGCCGTCGTCGTAGATCCCATACAATCCGTCAAAGGCAAAGTTGTCATCGACGCCTTCCGCCTGATATCCTCACAGACTCTGATGATGGGCCAGGAGCCACGTCAGACGACTTCCAACTTGGGACACCTCAACAAGCCGTCCATCCAAGCGCTTATTCACGGCCTCAATCGCCACTATTATAGTATCGCAATTAACTATCGCAAGACGGGACTGGAAGAGAATATGCTGATGAACCTGCATAAGCATGTATGGACGGAGGCGTTGCAGATGAATGACTTTAGAGAAGAAGGGCAGAGGAATATCGATCGGTTGAAGAAGCTTGTTAGTCTTGCGGAAGGCTATGAGAAGCGGGTTAAGGAGGAGACGGAGTTGACGAAGGATCAATTGAAGACGAGATACGTTGGGAAGGTGGATCCGAAGAAACGTTAGTGCTGCTTATACCACCTTTCTCAACCCCGTTCATTCACTGTGGTCTAGTGATATTATATTGTTTTTGCTAACTATTGTATTCATGGGACAATAGATATCGAAGATGTTGGCCAGCAGCTCATCGAAGACAATATTGTAGCAGTCTCACGGCAGATGATTGACAAGGTGGCCTCTTTGGCCCGTGAGTCTAGCAAAAGCAACGTTCCACAGAATGAGTCGATGGATGTGGATGAAGAGCCATAAGGTTACCTTTTTCTGATTTTAATTTTTTTTTTTCAGCTCCTTTTTTGGGCATGCAATATCAAGCTTTATCTGTCTATAGACGTGCTCTAATGATAATTTTTCCTTGCCGCGTGAGATACGCATATACTATATTGTACGCTGGCATGATGAGATCTTACGGTTTAGAACTTGTGAAAGGCATGAGAGGTTTAAGTGGTAAGATGGTTACAAAGTACCTGGAGGGGAGATTTGTAGCTGAGCAGAACAACAATCTGTGGTACATTTCCCAAAAGAGGCTCAAGTCCGGACGCGATGGCATGTACAGTCAGAAGAGCGCAATGTATAATACCCAATCTACCCATATCGAATATTGTTGTACGGTAAATTGATAGAATAAATGAAACTGGTGACAGTGATACGTCATTTTAAAGCAAGATATCTCCAACTTGACTCACTCGTTAGTGGGACCCGAGTGAGGCTATTCTTTGCTGCATTGAGTAGCACCTCTTCTCTCTGGCAGATACGGGAAACACACTGGTCGAGATGAAAAAAAAAAGAAAAAGCAAAGAAGATAATACATCAAATTCATTTGACTCTACAGAGCTAGCTACGGAGAGCAAGGGTAAAAATAACAGGAGCTCAACACCATTTCATAAAATTCTAACATACAGATTGCTAAACAGCCACTTGTTTGGTTCTGCAACATATATCGATGCCAACGGAACAGAACAGCTCACGGGGTTCCCAAAAGAAGCCTAACTAACGTTCTTGGGGTGGCACGACGGACTGAGCATTGATCTCCCCAGCATTTACAACCCTATGCACATGGAGAGAATGGTAAGCATAGTGTCAAATTTCGTTCCGCAGGGTGCAACTTTCAATTAGGTTGAAGAAGAAAAAGAGTAGGAAGAAGAAATTGAAGATGGAAGGTTTTAAGCTTAGGGCTGCTGACTCAGCACTCTCTTCAAAGGTTTTCAATCAAAAGATCTAGGATCATTTGTATAAACTATTCTGAGCTTCAAAAACGGAGAGTGCCAACTCTACCGGACTGTTTTATTTCCCCCAATTGTCTGCGCAACATTGAATATGAGCATATAGAGAGATTCCCCTTTTTCCTTTTTATTGATGTTGCAAGTCTACATCATGCTAAGTCGTGTCGCGTTGCCTTTATTGAGGCCTCGTGCGGTCACAGCTTCTATCCGAGCATCATTCACATCGCCTGCGCATCTGCGATATTTCGCTAATAATAGCAAACCTCCTCTCCCTCTTTCTTCTTCTTCCTCTTCAAAATTGCTAAAATCCCAATCAGACACACCCAAGCCGCCACAGCAAGGACAGGAGTTTTCAGAAAGCCAGGCGGAATTAGAGCCCAGCGGGGATGCTCAAAGGAATACCGCCCCTGAATCCGCGGGGACTGGAGCCAGCGCAGAAGCAGTACAGACGGGGGGCTCCAAATCACAGTCAGACGTGCCGAAAGATCAACCGGAGTTTGATACGGCCGCTGATTCTCCCAAAGATAAGGCTGCTGAGGAACCTTCACAACCCCAGAAACCACTTCCAGATCTCACACGAGGCATCCCTTCTACAATAGCAGAAGAGCTTGAAGCTCGTTCAAGACACCGCCCAACTACTCTTAACCTCACAGAAAATGAATTTGCTGATGGAGGTGATGGTGGCGACCTCCCGAAAAATCCCTACGTATCATCCACCGAGCGTCGACGCAACAGATTAATTAATATTATGTACGCTGTGTTCCTCGGTGCTGGGGTTGGGGGTACGATATTTCTGGGTCGAAATTGGGATACGGAGGAAGAGGAGAAGCAGCACAAGGACTCCCCCTCCGGCTGGGGCTTTAAGCTGTTTTTTGACCGTATTAAGGCTCGTTTCGCAGATATAACGAGTTACTACAAGGATCCGGCTTTTGAGAAATTGCTCCCGGACGATGACCCTATGATGCGGCAACCGTATACACTTGTTCTTAGTTTGGAGGATCTCTTGGTTCACAGTGAGTGGACTCGGGAGCATGGGTACCGGGTGGCTAAGAGGCCTGGCGTGGACTATTTCCTGCGGTATCTTAATCAGTATTACGAATTGGTCCTCTTTACAAGTGTTCCTAGCATGATGGCGGACCAGGTTCTTCGAAAGCTTGACCCGTACCGCATTATTCGTTGGGTCTTGTTCCGGGAAGCTACCAAGTATGAGGATGGTGAACACGTCAAGGTATTTAAACATATGCTTTTTCTTGTCCTTTGGGATTCCACTGCTACTAGTTCTTCGTAATGCTAAATAATTTTACCCTAGGATCTTTCCTACTTAAACCGCGACCTTTCCAAAGTGATATTGGTCGATACCCACGCTCCCCATGCCAAACGCCAGCCCGAAAACGCCATAATCCTCGATAAATGGAAAGGCAATCCACGTGACAAAGAACTAGTAGCCCTGATCCCCTTCCTCGAATACGTAGCCGGCATGGGCATCGAAGACGTCCGCCCAGTCCTCAAATCTTTCGAGGGGACAAAATTACCCATCGAATTCGCGCGGCGTGAGAAACTCATGCGCGAAAAATTCGAGAAACAGCTCGCTGAGGAGCGTGCTAAGAAGCCCAAGTATAGCGTCAGCAGTGTTACGTCGCTCTTTGGCATCAAACCTACCTCACCGACTATCGATGGTGTGGATCCTGTTGCGGGCCTGGAGCAGGGTAAGATGCTGTGGGATCAGATTCGGGAGAGGGGCCAGAAACAGTATGAATTGATTGATAAGGAAATTCGGGAGAATGGAGAGAAGTGGTTGGCGGAGATGGCGGCGGAGGAGGAGAAGGCTAGGGAGGAGCAGATGAAGGGGATGAGGAATAGCTTTACTGGATTCTTTGGGTTTGGTGGTGGTAGTGGTAGTGGTGCTGGAGGTGCTGGAGATGGTCAGGCGAAGAAATGATCGCAATTGTGATCTTGTCTGCCACTTTTTCTCTTTTTACTTCACCTGGTTGTCGCCGGGGAGGGCCCGTTGAACGTCAAAACATCCTCTTTGGATTGACATATCTTCTTTAACTCTTCGCATCTACGACGTCAAAAATAGGAAAATAAGGGAAAAAGAAAAGTGCGATCATCGTGAATACCTAAAAATGAAATAATATCTTATGATTCATTTGGTGGTTTCCCCCGTGCCTTGTCCAAATCAAGCCCGCGATTCCTTAATATTACTCCCCTGTTCTGTTCCATATCGTTTAGTCGCTTATTTGGAACCAGAAAAGAGAACATCTCGCCTACCCCTTGGTCCCTGCTACCTGAAGATCATTTTGCCATCCTCCCTTTTTAAAGCTTTCGGCATTCATCATTTCACGCGCTTCTGCGACGTGCATCCCCCTATCCCCTTCTTCTCAAGGAATTCTTTGCCATTATTTTGCTTCGATTGAGAGCGAACTCTATTTTTTTGACTTCATGTATCTGTGGGTCCCGGGGCTGTATGGTGAGCTTCTAATTTTTGTTCATATGTTACACTTTTTTAGATATTCCTTTTCTTCCCTGTATATTTTACCCAGTGGCGAGAAGGTAGTCAGGGGAGAAAGGTGCTAGGGTTATGGTCGACGGGTTTTATATCTTTTAGTCCTCGTGTCCAAGTATCTGTGTATATTATTAGAACAAGATCAGCTGCATTATGATGAGGATTTCTTTCTCTCTCGGACCGTTTTATTGTGTTGTATGTGAATACCTTGGTATGCCTTATGACGACAGGAACTTTGGGAAAAGGGCTAACTTTTATATATCGGTTTGTTGTTAGAGAAATGATTTATTTCCACTAATCTACACTCAAGCAATTCCTGCACCCCAAGATTCTCACAGGCCCTTGCTGTTTCAAAAATACTCAATCCCCATCCCGCTCCGCCGCTTACCCCTCTCCCATTCTCCCCTCTGTCACGTACAATATCCCACAACAACCTCTCCACTCTCCAACACTTTCTCCGCCCTCCTATCCACTATGAGCCTCTCCAAAACGCCCACAAACCTCTCCACCGCCTCCTCACTTGTCTGGTATTGAAACTCCAACTTCCCGAATGGAAACACCTGTAATTCCTCCGCGGCACAATAACTCACAAAAGCCGCAGGTGGCACATCATTGGACGGGGAGTTGGGATTTGTAGCCGAATCTGGAAAATATGGAGGCCGTGGATTTCGATAGGGAGTGTACACGGTGGAATTGAGGGATGGATGTTGTTAGGGCTGAGTGCGCCGCGGCGGACATCATGCCGGCTGGTGTGGATGGTTTGGTATGATATTAGTCTCATATTATAAATTTGTATGTAGGTATGCCGAAAGGATGTGATTTGCTTCACTTGGATATATTGATGTATATAAACTTGGACTTTTTAAAATACATATTAGTCTCGTCCCCCCTCCAAGCATCCTCCAAACCCACTTTGCCCTCTCGATAAAAGCGCGATATCCAAGAATTACACTTCCCACCGGCGCACTAAGGGCCTTTGCAAGACGTATGCTGATGCTATCGAAGCATACACAGCATTCCTTCAGACATTCTCCTTTTCTGGAAATTCCATCAAAAAGTCGCGGTGCGTGGCGACAGGCTTTTGTTGGCCTTCGGGGACGGGGAAGGACCTGACATAGTCTGAGATATCTTTGGTGTCTTTGAGCGGGAGGATGGTGCTGCTCAGGGTGTTTTCAAGAGATACTACCCTGGTTGGGGGGAAATGGACTGTATTGGTTTTTAGTTAGTTAATAATAACTTGTATCTTTCAATTGATTAAGGGGTGAGATGTAGAATAAATGAACCTAAAATAAGCATTCTACCCACGATTTTCTCCAGAAACCATATTCTTCTTGACATCATCCATCCAGAATCAAACCCAGCCTAATCTAGCTGAAGCAGTTCCTGGTCTAGAGGAAGATTACCCTACGTCTTTCGCTGCTCCGATCATTCGCAATAAATCATCTAGAGTCAAATGTATCTTATTCGCCGGGATAACTGAAGTCACCGAAGCCTGTGACAATACTGGTAGAGCTCCCGATTCCCAGCAGTAAACATTATTTCGGTGATCTAAAAGTACTGTATACGGAGGTTGTACCAGATGCGTCCGGAGACAAATTTGGTTCCCCATTGTCCTAAAAGGCTCATAGCGCCACTTCTTTTCCTGTGAGTCCGATGAGTTTGTCTTGGAGGCAGTTGACCGAGAGATCACCAGTTTCGTCATATATATCATTGCCAACTGAGGCTTCGAAAATGGTCTAATTATGTGAGTTAAGTTAAAAGAACATAAACTGATTGCATTGATTCTAATATAGGGTATAAGTATGAGGTATCGACGTGAAAGTGTTTTTAACAAGTACAGAGAGAGGTAATTGCTTTTTAATAGACATATTTGATAATTAACCGTTCACTCCTTTCTCACCTGCATCATACTTTCTGTGGGTACGGTCGAAACATCTGACCGAAATTCACTCCCTGCTTTCCGCTTTGCCTTTCTCAGGTTCGGCATAGCCGACTAAGGATGCCGGATATGCATTATCTTCTACCGATTCCGATTTTGTCTTGGATGCTATGCTGCTAGGAATATCACTGACACTGGGTGCCATTTCTAGTTCCCGATTGCTCAGTGACAACTTAATAAGGGGTGTTGTACAACGGAGGCTGTGAATGATAAGGCCGGGGATTGCTTAATGCTGTAGGTTGTAAAACGATAATTCTATAGCAAAACCGCCAAAATTGAATGTCGTAAATCTCAAATATGTTTAAAGAGCGTGCGATAGGTTATGTAGAACCCTCGATAACGTTGTCATATCGTCCCTCAAATGTGGGGAAGATACGAAGTCCTGATCGGCTGGAGATTAGCCCCACCGAGTCGGGAAATATATGGGAGGTGAATGAGCAGACGGTAATTTCCAAATCTCGCACCGAGGAGTGTATTCCCGCTAATATTATTGGTCGTATTTTATGTCTGTTGATAAACTATGGTGATAAGAGATAGTTGACATAGCTTTCATGTCCGTCCGTTATCTAAAAAGTAAAGGTCGGACACGTCGTAATCGTAGAAATTCCGAACAAAGACGATTTTATGCTCTCGACTCTCGATGGGTATTCCAAAATTCACCCGAGTTCATCTTGCCATCCCGAAAGGTCCCAGATTCCTGTCATGTCAAACGGAAAGCCATCCATCGTACCGAACGTACCGGATATTGACATCATATCATTGACAATATCATTCTGAGTCAAGGTTTCCGGGAGTGGTAGAGGGGCAAGATCAGGTGTTTGGGCGGTTTGCTCAGCACCAGGAGCATCATCGGAAATGATACCGGGTTGCTTGGCCAAGATCCGCTCGCAATGATCGAGACACATGTCAGCAAGATCCCAGTCATATTCTACTCGGGCCCGGTAGAGGGCGTCACGAAGTACATCTACCCTAGACAAGCAAGAACGGGCTATTTCTGGGTCAGACGTCTCAAGAGCACATCGTACTAGAAGTGTAGCGGTTGACGTAAGGTGATAAGCGCTGTCTGCATTCGGATATAAGCATGTTGCATTTTGTATCTCATGCAGCTCGTTATAGTGACTTACACGGCAGCCAAAATTCATCAAAATTAGGCCTCTTCAAGGAGATCATAAACTGTACCACCTCTTCTGCAGCTTTCCTACATTCAGTCTGGAAATACTGGCGCCCTTCAGTGTTGGATGGATTATCGGAATTATTAATCTCCTAGAAATATATACAGATATTAGACAAATGTTTAACAGCATCAACTGCGAAGGTTATAAAATCGACTCTACCTGTAATTCAACACGGCAAATAAGCATTTTCAAAGTAAAATAAGCCAGAAACAAACTGCTGGATCCCGACACGGGAGCTGGCAAGCTTGCAGGCGAGGCTTTCAACCATTCTGGAAGTGAATCTTCCCAAGTTCCTATATCTGCCCTCAATCTTCGAAGGGTTTTGGAGATCTCATGTTGCGATTTAAGCTGTAATTCGTATATTAGCGGGAGTAGATCGCCAAGAATTTCGGTAAGCTGACACAGAGCGATGTAGCATTCTGCCATTCTTATCCTCTTCGGAGAGGGATTTGCTTGGGGGACGAGAACATGGATCGTCGGAAGTGGTACGTCGTATTGGTTTCTATTGATTTGTGGAGGGACGCCATGTCCGTAGCTTGCCCTGTTCTTTGTCAGCTCGCAAAGCAAGGTATGAGCAGTAGGGACAATCCCAACCACCCTCCCTCCCGGCCAAAAAAAAAAATGAAAATGAAAATGAAAATGAAAAATGAAATTACCACCGATCATGAACAACTACACCCCACCATAGGCGGATACGCTGGTGTTTTTCCGCACGAGAGAGCTTCCAACTGCTGGGGTCACGATTGAGGCCAAGCGTGTGAGAAAGGGCAACCGTGCGGCCGCTGTTAATTGCATTTCCAGTCATGGAGAAAATTGGCCGGCCTGTCAGGTCTATTAGGGAAGCACTCAAAGTCGATAAACCGGGCGCTGAAAACTCCTCATGTAATGCGGCGACTGCAAGATTAACTGCGTATCGAACATCCGGCTTGGGATGCGGGGCTAGAATATGGGACTGGCCCCAGTATATAAGGCTCTGCGCGTATACCTGGCACATCAAAGCTGGAGGGAGGCTCCCATTGTTCGAATTGTAGGATTCCTCGAAGGCAACTTCATCAAATATCAGGAACGAAGCATTGATTCTGTCCAGAAAGCTAAAAATCCGTACGCGGTATTAGCGAGGAGCCCTAGCTGGTACATTAAAATAGGAGTAATTGCGTACATCTTGACCAAATCATGTTTGAATGGACCGAGGATTTGTTCGAGGATCTCCTTCTGGCTTTCACCTGGAATTCCGGTGGTCCTCAGGCCCTGCCTACGTCGTGAGATCGTAGTATAGAGAATTGGCTTCTTTGGATCATTGGAATAAACATTGTAGGGAGCCTTGGCATCTGAACCTTTTGCCGAATTTTCCGAGGGCATAAACCGCTCAATGACTTGAGCATCCTCAGCGGCGACAGGCCCGACAATATGGACCGATTCGCCGAGTGGTTCTCCAAACCCTCGTGGAGAGATATGGCCATCTTGACTGCAGCTTCGTGGAAGAGACTCTGGGATCCTTGTTGCCGCGGGAGCCGATGTGGCTGCTCCTGGCAAGTTTGGAGACAACAGTGTGTGCTTTCGCTTCTGCGAAATCTGAGATTCGCTGAGCAAGTGATTACTATCTGCCGCTCTCTGATCATAAGGATGAGGTCCAATAAGTCTTGACAGGTCTTCACGATAGTGACAATCCGCCCCCTGAAGACGGCAAAGCTGACATGATTGGCCCGGCAGATCAACTGTACAGCGGGATTTCCTTCTGCGGCACAGATCACAAGCACGAATTTTGTGAGACCTGTAAGGACGAGTTCCGACCGGGATGGGGACTGAAGGCAAATCCTTTGGAACTCCCTTGAAGTGAGGTGTGGTGAATGGTGACATCTTATCTGAACCTTGGAAGTTCATGCGTCGGATAAATTAATGGTTTAGGGAGAAAAACTATTCAATAATAACTAGATAACCAACTAGTCAAGGCGGGAGCTCTAGGACTTCCACCCGGGGCAGTGAAGCCAGTAATCGCTCGATCGATTAACCACGTAGAAATCATTATGTCCACGTCAAGAAGTCAATTATTAAAGCATCTCTCAACACAAGGAATGCAGAGGCCCAGGACGCTGCCCGCGTTCCAAGTTGGTTTATGCTGAGATAGGACTGCGTTCCATGGATGGATCGTCCCCATCAATTCCGGAGTAGCGGCACGGGCTCTCTCGCTTGTATTCTCCTGCCGAAAGCCAAAGTCTCCTCTGGAGGTACTTCGATTGGGGTGGGGAACTCGTCACGATTGCCTTTTCAAGGAAGGGCTTTAACCGCCATTTAGGGGTTCACGGCCCAACATCTGGCTTATGTTCAGGGCATCCCAGGGCCCGAGACGTTACATATGACCTCACCGTCACCCGGCCGTCACCCGGCGGCGCCGCTTGCTGGTGCGTGTTTCTTTTCTTATTTTTTTCTTTTTTTTTTTTTTAACTTCCTTCCCGAGGTTTCTCTCTTCTCTCGCTTTTTCACTTTTCACTGTTCAATCATACCGATTAATAACTAATAACTAATAGCCTTCACAACTAACTAACTATTCGCACCGTTATTCCAAAAACCTGGATTTCTTTTTAATTTTCCTTTACCTAACGTGGGGGGTAAGTTCCACAGTCCTTGGCTGCTCTATTTCCTGTTGTTGGTCTTACACATTGGGTTTGCACTACGGCCATGTCGACGACAGCCATTGCACGGAGTGATCATGACAAGAGGCACGGCCCGCTGAAGTCTTCTCAGAGAAACGGGTAGTTAACCCCTTTGTCGACATAATTTATCCCACTGAAGAGACAAGAAGGAAGAAAATCTGGGGCTGAATAGTCGACTATGCTGTCGGGACACTTATTTGCCGACTCACAAGCTTAGCGCCACCGACGGACGACCATGATTTTTGGCCAATGGTTGAATGAGCCTGCATTGCCAATTTCAGACCAATGAAGGATTAGAATACTGAGAAGATCAAAGGCCACTGGAAACTGCCCGTTTGCGCCACATGAGAGAGAGAGAGGTTTGACGACCAATTGTTAGCAATTAGTCCTGACAGGAAAGCCTGGCTTGATGACCGAACTTTTTGCACATGCTGGTCAGAGAGGAGAAGAAAAATTTCTGCTCTAAAGTTTATGGCGGGTTTTCACGGCCCTGGGGTGCTTACTCTTTTTAATATTCACTGAACCATCGTTGCATTATTATTTGCTGACGGGGGGTCACTTTCAAACCTGTTGAGGCTTGTGGGGCTCAACTGAAGTAATAATGTATATACGACCTAGTTACTTAGGGGCCATCAAAACAGGGATGACCGCTTGATACACACAGATGTCATAAACGAGCAGCCGATTGGCGTGGGGTATCCCGTGTTGTCATTATTGTTCTAAGCGTTAATAAATGCAGACGTCGCGGCGTTCGTCGTGATTGGACCTTGACCGAGTTGTGGAGTGATTGCTATGTTGCCTTGGCGTTGTCTGGCAGCCTCTTGGTAGTTTTTCTGCGAGGTGGTAACAACTTCTGCTACAGTTATCGTGTGGAATTACTTTCCAAACCCTTCATAATACTATGCTGCTGCCAGTAAACGCCTCGCTAAAAGATCATTCCCGCGGTTCAACAGTTTCGGGAACTGCTTGAAATCATCCCAACGCCAGCCTCACCTAGCCCAACCCTAGATTGGTGGGTGTTCTGCAGATCTCTGCGAGAGAACGACAAGACAAAGAGCTCAAGCAATGATAGGAACATCAATCCACCTCTTCAATATGGCAAACATGACCCTCCTAGGAAGTATGAGGCCTGCTGCAAATGACGTGTAGTTTGAGGGATCAACACAATGGCCATGGAAGATGGTGATTCCATTTCGACCTGGAGTCGACTCGAGAATCCCGCCAGCTTTGGACCGGATATGATCGTCGACACGGTTACAAGCCCGCAGACGCCCCTTTTTGGTGCAGACAGACCTATCACCAGAAGCCCTCTAATAAACACAACGCATGAGCAGAGTCCTGGACCCTCAAACGATGCCGCATGCCGTGGTCGCGATTCACTGGGCTGTCTCCCGCGAAATATAATTGAGAGGTATGTTTAAGCTCATCCATATGCTGCGCCACTTGGCCCGGGCTTTTCGATTTTCTTATGCGGTGCTTTCGAGGGCTGAAGTCTATAAATAGTCAAAAAGAAAAGAAGGAGGGGAAAGAATTGAAAGGAAAAATCTGGTATATATATTGGTCTCTGCTCACATTGATTTTTAGGATTTTGTATATCGTAGACGCAAATTCATTCGCCTCTCTTGCACTTTTAAATAGTAAATGGCGGAGCGTCTCAGATTTGCCAGAACTTTATCGCTATCATCTAGATGGTTGTGTCAGAACCGTCTTACTCAACAAAGATGACGTCCTCCGTCCCTGGGCATCGGAGGATCTTTGGCACCTGAAACGAAGATTCGCTCGTGAAGCCAGGAGGAATCTATTTGAATCTTTTCTTGGAGCGCAGAAGACTGTTGTCAATCTCATTTCGGCTTCGGCAAGCTCAGCATCAGCATTTCCCCAAGGAGAAGCGTTTCGATTTACCTTCTCGGCCAATGGACGGCAACTCTTAGCCCTAAGTTCGTCCAGAATTTTCGTCGTTGATTTAGCCACTAGTCCAATATCAGTTTCATACGAATTGAAGACTTTGCGACGGCCGCACACGGCTACAATAGTAGATGACGCAAGCCTACTGGCGGTTGTTTCCACGACGCATCAAGCGAACATTTACCGCCTGGTAAATAGAGATGTAAAGTTAATTCAGTCTATTTCGTTGGATGAAGTTCCTCGTACCATTTCGTTCTCCCCAGAAGGAACGGTTTTAGCATTTGCGTATGATGGAGGTATTGAAGTCCATGCTTTGGGGGAGAACGCACTGGCGACTGACCGCAGGGCTGTACGGTGTTTTGCTACGGATATGCTATCCTTCTCGCGGGATGGTTTGATGTTAGTAGGTTCGTCCAATGATCCACTTGAAGCCAGAATGGTTTCCATTTCACCGCCTCTTTATATGGACCTGGAATCAGAGTTGCCTTCCCCCGAGTTTCAATCCCGAATGTGGGCAACACAGATACTATCTCCGGACATTACCATTGGTTACAACAACATGACCCTCGTTCCTTCTAAAGCTGCTGATGCAGGCGTCACTTGGATCGTTGGATATGACTCCCAGTTGCAAGTCTTTAGGCTCGGTCAGCTTGATGATACCCGGGCTGGGTTTACCTATTTTGTTGGCCCTGGAGGAGATGGTGAAATAAAAGAGCCAGGCCCAAGCTCTGAGCCAACAGCAAGCTCTAATGGTGAACTACTGGCCTTAGGTTTCCAAGGTTCTGGAATTTGGCTTTATGGAATTCCGGACGTGTCTGGTTGTCCCTCAGCATCATACATGGTCCTGGAACGCAGCTGGGGTTCTATGTTAGCGCGTACGAATTCTCAAAGGCTCAACAAAGTGATTAAACCCCCTAGCCACTTGGTTCACGGGAGATTGTTGTCATCCATAACTGATATTACAGCCATAAAATGGGTCAACACTAATCTGAAAACCACTGGAAATCAAGGTCTTCAGAGACTAGTGGCTGTAGCTCCCGGCGGCGTTAGGTCTCATTTTGGGGAGGTGGTTGGCGATCATCTGCCAGTCGATGGTGGCAGGATTGTGGTTTTTGATTTCGCGCGTTCTTCAGCTGATGGAAAGGCAGTTGATATCACAATCGAGGTGGGAGAGGCAGAGCCCACACCTTTACACGAACGGGGTTCAACCCTCGACGTTGAGGTTGAGCTGGAGAGGAGAAGGACACGAGTCAATCGATGCGGCGGACTAGGGAGGAATCGCAATACTGTCATTGAACGTTCCATGGCGCTATCAAGGCACCGCGCTAGTATTGGAAGTGCAAACATTGAGCCTGTTGTTCCAGAGAGAACTCATCGAAATAGCGTTTCCCAGCCTGGCTCCCCCACAGATTCCATCCTAGTTGTGGATCTCCAGGCAGTTGAAAATCCCTATTCTAATACCCAGCCTCGATCCCAAGACATTCTCAGTCGAGCTGCTACTGCAGCAGCAGCTGATCGGGGCCGGAGTCGCTTCCAAAATCCCCGCTACCAGCAATCGATGGGTTCAGGTAATCGTAGACAATTTGCACCTCATGAAAGTGATGCAGATAACTGGGTTCCTCCGCCACCGCCATATACCCCCAATGCGGACGAGCCGCTACCAGAACATATGCAAAGATTTTTGCTTCCCTCAGCGACCAAGCCTATCCCTGGGGTGGCCCAAGAATTTTCTCCACAGCACCGATGGGCACAAACATCTCGATTCGAATCGATGACACAGAATGCCATGGAACGGACTACGTCAACCATGGATCGTATTATTGTCCCTAGGGCGAGGTTGAGAAAGTCCCCGGATACTCTAGGTGCAGGTGACCTAGCCAGAGACAATGCTACCTCCCGCCACTCTCCTAGAAGCAGAAGAACAGTCTCTGATGGGATATCTCGGATTATTTCTTTGCGGGAAAGTCGGGTTGGCCCCCATCATGTTCAACCTGGAGGAAGGCCTGGGTGTACAACACCCGGTCCAACTCGTGCAGAAAACTCAGAGTCATACTATTTGTCAGGTCCTCCCCAACGACTTGTGATAAATACGCAGATTCAGGCACCCTCGATGGATCGGACCCCATCAGGATTTACCAATGCATCGTCCGTAGAAACTTGGTCAGCAAGACCGTCAATCCTTCCTGGATCTGCGTTACAAGAACGACCCGAGAATCTTATTTCCCCGACGGTTGCAGAATATTCTCAGTCTGACTCTACGCTATCTCGAGTGATTGGCAGGAACGGACCTATTCATCATTTGGACATAGATCGTAATAAGTTATCCCCATCTTTCCATACCGTCTTGCAGGGAGGAATACGAATGGGAAACAGTGGATTTTCCACCATGACTCAGGATTCCATCGATGAAAGTGTCCAAACAACGGCAAGCAACCCGAATCTCAGTTACACAACACATGAACGCCCTGACAATTTAAGAACACCCCGACTAAATGCGAGGAACACTGAAAGCTCTTCGCGCCATAGTGCTCCTCCAAAATTTTCTCCTGTTCTAACCAAGCCACACGCTTTATCCACTCCTCACTTACACTTACAGTCTCATGGGCCTCGCCGTATGGAGGAAATTTTCAACATCAGCTCAAATCCGGAGTCGCAGCGATCTAGACCAAGATCGCAAGACGTTCCTCGGCATAAACCAATGACTGGTGGCGCCTTCTTTGACGTACGCTCAGGGCGAGTTCTTTCAAGTTCTCAATCCGATGCAGGGGTAGGACATCGTGCGAGGACGGAAGAGCTGAGAGAAAGGATGATAGATTGGAGCCAGCTTGAGAGAGAGAGAAAGAAGAAGAAAGATGCTAGGTGTACAATTATGTAACAACCTATCCAGAGGGACGAGAATGTGACGTCCAGTACCAATAGCCACCTGCTTCGACCTGCGAGTTAATTTCCATACTTTTTATTCTTTTTGTGACGTTTATGATCTCGCATCTTCACTCGGTTCCAATCTGCTTTCTATATATGGCTAGATTTTGCTTTTTATCAAGGTATTGGTACACACCATGGAGCGGTTTGGGGCTCTTGTATCTAATGTGGTTTCTGCGATGGTCTACTATGCTCCTTGACGATGGCGTATTCTGATATACGACTCTTCCTTACGGCCCCGTCATTTCATCTTAATGGTGGCTATGTTTCCCGAACATTTACCCTTCTCAAATCATCTGCTTTCTGGGATATCGCCAGTTTTACCTTTGTTATCCTGCACCGGGCGTTTATTTAACGTTTCCTAATTGCCAACGACCACTCTCGATCAACTCATCCTTCACCTTTCCTTTCTTTCTCTGTCGGGTTGGCATCTTTTTCTGCTTTCTTATGGCACAAGTAGCATATCTCTCATATTTCGCATATACCCTTCTGTTATTGAAGTCGAGGGCTCCGAATTTTGTTTTCGGAGATCCTCTTACATAAGCCAATTCCTGTGACCTGTTAACTAACGTAATCCCCCCGAGCGAACACCACCCCCGTCCCGAGCAAACACCCAAATCGAGATATCTGAACTAAATAGATTTTAACTCAAAATATCTATGCTCAACAATGACTAATTAAAATAAATTAGTTAGTTAACTTAATAACTAATTAAAATAAATTAGTTAGTTAACTTAATAACTCTAGGATAATGATATTTTATGTCTGAGAAACCCACAATTGCTGCATCTTCGTGGGGCTCGTGAGTGTGGAATAGACTAGGGGTTGAAGGCTCAGGGGGTTGAATAATATATTGTTCAATAGTCTGAGCAGATGGAATAATAAGATCCAACAGCTTTTCCTCTATAGACCCCTTTTCAGATTCAATTCTATATGTATATCACTTGCATTTCTGCTTCACTTTCTCATTCACATTGAATATATACTGATATTACTTTTTTATAATTATAGCATTAATTATTTCATATTCACAGACATTGGTAATTTAATCAAATTCTTTCACTAGGCCTTGAGATAATACTTTTAAGCTTTTATTCTATAAAATTTATAATTTTATTCACTTAAATATGCAATTGGCTAAGATTACTTCATGTTTGAAATACTCAAAATGATATGAAGTTGCTGAATCAGCTAAATGATGAAGTAGAAGTTAAAGTTAACTAATCAATTAATATAATTCCACACTGAATGAGACATCAAAACCACTGTATCCTAACTAACTAGATTTTAACCTGAAATATCTACACCTATACCCTCTTAATTAAATTAAATTAAATTACACTAGATTGAGGGCATCTTGTTCTCTTATGGTCAGGTAAATTGCAGTTGCTGCATCACTGTGGTGCTCCTGAGTATGGTCTAGGCCCAGAGACTACAGGCTCATAAGATTGAATAACAGACTGTTCATCAGGTGCAGTAGATGGAATAATAAGATTCTGAGCTTCCTGTCTAGTGAGACCCTCTGTATGTTGAATCTGACATCTAAATCTAGTCCACTTTTGCTTCTCTATCTCATTCATGTTGAATATATCCTGGTATTACTTCTTTATAATAGTGGCACTAACCATTCCATGTTCATAGGCTTTGATAATTTGGTCAAAGTCTTCCACAAAGCCTTGAGGTTGACCTTCTACTAAGTATTTGATCTTATTTGCCTGCTGGTATAATTGCCGGAGATTACTAGGTGTTTGAAGCATTCAGAACATGATTGATTTGCTAAAGCTACTGCATAGAGGAGTAGAGGTCTGAAGTTGAATATCTAGCTGCTGGAGAATATAGTCAGGTTGAAAAAACACTATTCCAGTAGCTTTAAAGTTATTTTGAATAGTCTGCAGTTTGAAGACTTCAGTGCACGCTGCAGAATAAGTTTTTAAAAAATCTATCTTCTAAATAGCATTAAATCTTAGCTATATTTACTGTTGAACTAAACCTTTATATACTTACTTTAAGACTGCAACAACACTCACGTCTAGTGGTTATAATAGATGTGATGAATGAGATGGCATGCAAAGACATATAATAGCATTATCCTTGTAGATTTGATTGAATTCTGGGGTAAGATGACTGCTATGCCTGTCTAGAATAAAAAGACTATAAGTATCAACTCTGTGTAGATTTGTAGTAGGAATAAACAGCCTAAGAAGTCATTTGACTCTTATCTCATTTATAGTTTAATCATTAGAACTAACATCAAGTCTCCAGCTGTCTGAGAGCCTGTTAAACTAACCTTCCTATAGGATCTGCCCTTTGAGAATGATATATATATATAAGACTCATCCTGACATATTGACTGCCTCAATCACAGTCACCCATTTATAATTCTCAGGCTGTAAGAGCTTTGCCCAGCCATAGCACTCAGCACTAGTGATGACTTTAATAGTGACATAAAGCCTCATGGCAAAGCTAATCTCATCAAAGTTGTATATATTCTATGACAGAATCTCATGCTCAGCAATTGTAGCTTTCAAAGTTTTAAATCAATCTTGTATAACTCTGATATCTTTGCATTTAGCTTATTTATGATTATAGTATCTGAAATAGCAGCTTTGAAGCTCTATACAGTGTTTAATCAGTCTTGAAATCTAGTTCTTGCTAACTTGGGGAAGAAAGGTGATAGAGATGATGAAATTCTGTAAAATAAGAAGATAATTAGCCATATTCTCAATAAATGCTGACTAGGAGGAAATCCTCATTTAACATAGTGCAGTACTCATTCAACTAGTCTATCCTCTTCAGTCTGAGACAATTTGTGTGAATTTGAGTATAAATTTACCAGTATAGGTTTGCCATTAATTTGATGACTAAGAGTAGAAGATAAGACATCAAATAAGTATATAACTTCATAAATTGAGAGTTTTTCATCATTTTAAATAGATTTTATCATGAGTTCAAGCTGTAGAAGGTTAAACTCTAAAAACTAGAAGCTAGTCCTACTATATAACAAGGACGAATTGCTTGGGAAAGGGAAGAAAAGAATGAGATGAAAATACAAGCTTAAGCAAGCTCGCGTAGCATGATCATGTGCGTACATGCAAATGATGACTAGGCTGAGTCAGCCAGCCAGAGTGAATTTAGTGGTTCAGCCCTTTATAATACTCCTCTTCTCCCTCTTTGTTGTGGGTCTTTATGACTATTTAAAGCTCTTTTTACACCTAATTTTTGCCTGCTAAGAGGCCTCTCAAGTGTTCAAAGCCTTCACTTCTTGTAGGAGACTTGCATCATTCCATGTAGGCTCAGCCTAATCTACTCATTTAACAAGGTATTACTTTTTTCTCTGATAGGTTCATTCATTTCAAATTTTCTCAATCTCAAACTTAGGTCCTTCTGAGGTCTCTATAGTGGGTGGCTGTCAGTCAGTTTGCCTCTGACTAGGTAATGAATCTATTGCTGCTACATGTAGAAGCTTTACATTAAAGACATTGTGAATGTCAGATGAAACATTCAGTCAGTAAGCATGAGATTCTATCTTTTCTAGCACAGTATATTGATTGTATTTCACATTCAGCTTCTTGCACAGGTGATTAGTTCTCATGTTCTCTAAGCTCAACCAGATCTTATCTCTGGGTTGAAAGCTTGGAGCTAGGTCTTTTCATCTATTCATATAGTTCTTTTGAGATTGCTAAGCATCTGTCATTTTTACTTGAGCTTACTTCAACACTTCACAGACCTTTCTCATATAATCATCTGCAAACTCAATGAGATTATGTGATGTTTTAACAGAGGGTACATTAGCTATATCAATAAAGAAGACATAAAAAAGATGTGTTAAAAAGAATGAGCTCATGCCTATTGAGGCAGTATCTCTATTATTGATGATCAGCTCTGTCAGAGAGAGTCATTTACACCAGTCATTCTGTTAAAAGCTAATATACTTGTATAAGTAGATTTTCAGAATCTGATTCATTCACTCTGTAGCTCTGTCAATCTCTTAGTGATAGACTGTGAAGAGTCATCTTTTAATATCTAATTTCTCACACATTTAAGTTCAAAACATGCTTGTGAAAGCTGATCCTCAATCTGACACTATTGTCTTAAAGATGCTATGTTGAGAGATGATGTCATGAAGAAATACTCTAGTCACTGTCTCTATATCAGTTTTCTTAATTGCTTTTAATATAATCTTCTTGATTAATCTATCTGTTATAATTATGATGTTTGTATAGAGCTTAGTAAGTCTACAATAAAGTCCATGAAAAGCTTCTGTCACATGCATTCAGGAATGAAGAGAGGCTTAAGCAGTTCTTAATATCAATCTCTCTATGTGATGTTTGATCTGCAAAGATGATAGTTCTTGATCATTCTTCTCACATCAGTGACATAGCCTGACCAGTAGAACTCATGTATTAGAACTTCTGCTATTTGCTCTCACCCAGGATGGCCAGTAAAAGGTAAGTCATGAGTCTCATACACTAATCTGGTTTAAAGAGGTTTGAAGTCTAGCACTTACTTACAACCTTAAAAGAGAAGCTTCTCATTCTCATTTAAAGAGCACTCAGAGACAAAGACCTTAATGCTGAGTTCAGAAGAAAATCTAAATCTTTTCTTATGAAGAGTCTGCTCCAGACACTGCAAAATCTTATCATTTTTATAAGTCTCATTTCACTGAGCTTGAAGAGACATCTCAGGTTTCACACTGACAGCAGTTACTCTTGATTTCATTCCAGGTGCCAGTATATTAAACTTAAGTAGTTGAGCTTGCCTCTGCTTGATTCTCTCATCATCAGCACTCTGTGACATGTTCTGCTCTCTTCATGATAGAGTGTCTGGTCCAGTGTTCAACTTCTCTGACTGATAATCAATTCTGAAGTTGAATTGATAGAGAATATTCATTCAACATAGTTGTCTTTTATTTAGTCTGTATGTAGTCATGAAGTATTCTAGATTCTTATAATC